TTAAAGTTTGCATTGAGAAGTCTGCTGTAATTCTCATGAGTTCATTTTTATAAGTGACTTGTTTTTTTCTAACAGCTTTTAAGATTCTGTCCATGTGTTGAATTTCTGGGGTTTTGACTAGTATGTGTCATGGACAGGTTCTTTTCTGATTGTGGCTATTTGGTTTTCTAAGCCTTACTTCTCTGTATGTAAATTTCTTTCCCCATACAGTGGTGGCTCGATTCATAAGCTTCATTCATTCTGTAATTCTAGAGAAATTGGTTGCAGTCCTGTTCTTCACTGGATGTGGAGTTTTCAAATCAAAGCAAAATTTTGCGGACTGCTTCTGTTCATGAACCCAATTTTTCATGAAACATTTGTGAACATGAGGCATTACTGTACTTAAAAAGTTTTCTGCTATTATTTCTGTGAACAGGTTTCTTTATACCATTTGCGCTGTCTTCTAAGTTTTTACTAATTCCAGTTAGTCTTGGTCTTCATTGCCATCTAGCAGCTGTTGGATCCATTTTCTTATGTTTCCTTTTATTGTTTTTAAGATATCATTGAATAATTCTCCAACAGAAGCTCTGTTTCCTAGTTGTGACATTCTGTCCTCACGGTGGTCTCATCTGCTACCTATACTTTCAATATAATTTTTAATCACCTGGATTTCTGTTTGGTACCTTTTTATGGATTTTAATTAGTTACTAAATTGGTCACTAATGTGTTGTATTATTTTGTTTATCTCAGCTAGATTTTTATCAGTATCTTCTGTAAACTTGCTGATTGTTTTGTTTATTAAGGCCATTATCTGTTGTTATATCTTCTTTGAGTTCACTGGAACATTTTATTGATTTTTTTAATATCCTCTTTAATAGTTTCTAATAATTCAGCTACATGGCTTTGGATTTCCTCACCCTCATTTCCCCATGGGTCACCTTTAGGAGAGTTGGAAGTTTTGGGAGACATCTTTTTCCTTGTCTTCTCATGTGTCTTTCTTTTTTTGTGTGGTGAGTTTTGCTGGTTGATTATAGTGGAATCTGTATCTTTCTAGTTTGGAGACCTCTCTAGTTAGTGTCTTCTTTTCGCAGTATACTGTACCTTTGTCTAATTATAGACCTTTGCTTTTGTTGTAGTGTCCAACTACCTTTGTTTATTTGGGAGGGTGGGAGGCAGTGTAATTGGCCCAGCACCCAGTTTCCTAGGAATAGGCTATAATATTATCAGTGACACAAAGGCTGTGGAGACATTGGGATGCAGAGAAAACCAATTACTAGCAGAACTTTGCCACCTAGACAATAGTAACAAAATTAGCAACAATAATAGCATCAAAGACAAACTGGATGTTAACCCTAATGTAGCACTCTTAAGCATAGAAGCATAGAAAAGAGATCAGTAATTGTAGTATAAAAACTAAGGCAAACCAAATATTGATATATAAAACTATCTATTAAATACAACATTACTTCCTAATGATTAATAAAGCTCATTAGTTATACTAATAAAGGTAGAGGGGGTGAGGAAGCATAGAATAAAGAAAGCAAAGATTGATTAATCAATGGAAGAGAGAAAAGTGCAAGATGAAGGATCCTATTAAAGGTTAAATGAAAATTAATAGAAATAAATAAAAGTAATAAAAAGAACAAACAGAAATAAATGGAAGAAACAGCAAAATAAAGGAAAGAAAAATAAGATGAAAAAATAAAAGGACAAAAGAATAAAATAGAAAATAGAAAAAAAGAAAAGAAAAATGGAGAAAAAAATCCCTAAACCCATAAAACCAAAAAATGAAAAAGAAGGAAAAAAAAAAAAAGATCTGAAAAAAAAAAAATCCTCTGTGGTTTTGACTGAGTGCTTTTGTCCAGGATCTGCAGTGTTGGAATCCAATGAGTCACTATTTTCTTCACCTGTCTTCATGGCCTGTAGGTTTGTGAGCTGCCTCCCACCCTCCACCCCAGAGGCTTGTCTGACCATGCACTACAGATTATGATGACCCTTGAAGATGAGGTGTGTCCTCTCTCACTTTGGCAGATGTTGATAACCATCAGTCTGCTAGTCTCTGTGGGGTATAGGCAGCGGTGGGGTGTGTGTGTTCAAGCAGACCACTGGACTTAATGTCAGCACTTTCAGATCTGGCCACCTCTGAAAGCCACACTCACTGGCTTGGCTTCTCACGATGAAGGGTGGGGCCCCGTTTCCTTCCCAGCCTGAGTTTGAACTTCTCAGGGGTCTTTGTCTAGCCCTGACCCTCTCTGCTGCTGTCTTTTGTGGGTGTCTGTCACCAACTCAGTGTTAGGGTAATAAGTAGCTGTGTGGTTTTTCTGTGGCTCAGTCTTAACCTTTTCCCGGAATGGCTCTTTATTAAACTCTCTCTAATACAGCAAGTGCTGCACTAGGTTTCTTCTCTAACCTTTCTATGCCATGAAAGAGATACTTTCTGAGTAAAACCCCGTATTGTACGTTTTTTTGAGGCAGAGTCTTACTAGGTAATTTACAGTGTCTTTGAACTTACTCTGTAGCACAGGCTGGCCTCAAATTTGAGACAGTACTCCTGCATCAGCCTCCCAAATGCTGGGATTACAGGTGTGTACCACCACACCAGGCCCCAAACTGTTTTTATAGTTTACAATACTTGTGGACTTTGCTTGTGTTAGTGTTGTTGTCATTTCTCCCTGAACCTGCACACCCCGCTGGCTTACTTTCTCTTTTTGGGTTTTGGACTTGTCCTCCATCATGTTGTTTGGTTGGTCAGTGCCTCTGTTCCACCTTGCCAAGCTTAAACAAAAATAGAGAATTGGCGTGGAGTTGGTGGGTGGCAAGGCCGGGGCACAACCCGAGCATGCTGAGTTAGTTGCCTGTGGGCGAACATGATGGTTCTGTCATCGGTGTATCCACAGTGGCAAGCTTTAAAAGAAAACGGGGACACAGTACTTGGTTTGCAAAGAACAGAGAAAGGAAGGGATGGCTTCTCTCAAAGGGATGGTGGCTGGCTGGGTCTTTCAGTGTACATCCGCTGTCATCAGACAGGAGGGGAAGGAGTTGGAGTCAGTGAGAACAATGAGAAGTGAGAGGAGAGACCTGCTCAGAGCTAGTTCTTGTGCACTGTGGGACTGTGAGGCTGTCTGGACGTCAAGCCAGAAGGGCAAGACTGTATCAGACATGCTGAGAGGAAGCTCCTGGGTGAGGTGGTATGGTGTGCTTGGGGCCTCAGGTCTGGTCACACCAAAAACCAGTGGTATTCTGTTCTGAGAAAGGGCTCAGCAGAGGGTCTGCTGGCAGAAGGGCGGAGGGTGGGCAAGGGTGATCTTTGTTTCAAACTGAGCAGTACTGCTTTTATCTGTTTTATTTATATCGTCATTAAGTATTGGCTTGAAGAAAGGTGTCTCTGAATAAAAGAATGCATGATTTGAAAACTGGTGCTCATAGTCATGTGGCACTTCTCAAGGGCCCCAAACTGAGTGCTTCTTGATGGCTGGGCCTGATGGGTTGTCTCTCAGCCCAGGAGAAGCTAGTATAGTTGTCACTATACCTTCCTCTGTCTCCTCTTCACCTGCCAGGGATCCATGGAACCAAAGGGGAGAAAAACACTATTGAGAAATTGTGTGGTTAAGTCAAAAGCAGTCACTTTTAATGAAGCCTTTCTTTAAAAAAAAAAGAAATTTGTTTTTTTGAGATACAGTCTTGTTATGCAGTTCAGGCTGGCCTTGAACACACTATTTAGCATGGGTTGGCCTTGAGCATGAGTTATCCTCCTGCTGCAGCCTCTAAGGTGCTGGGGGTACAGGGGTGTGTCACCACGCCCGACTTTGAAGTCTTTCTTTCTAATTGGGATAAATATCTAGGAAGCAGTAACCAAACATCTGCTAGCTGACTTTAGTTTCAGAATCCCCAAGTGACTGAAATTGAAGAATGCGGTTGTTGTTCTGGTTGAATTGGACTCTGGGTGCCAGGATGGCCCCCAAGCTCACCTGGGGAGTTGTATTGTGTGCATTAGTGCACTTGTCTTAGAGGTTAGTTCTTTCTCTGCAAAAGGCCAGCCTATAAAATGACAGCCTCTGACATATCTGAGTCATGTGGGTTAATCGGACCAAAGGGAATTAGAGCAGCCACACGGGCCAAAGAATTCCTGAGTGTTCTCTGGTCAGATTTCCTTGTAACTCACCAAGAGTCTGTAAGGAAAACAGATTGTCTGACAAGCTCCCTATCATGTCTCCCCTGGGGCTTCTTCCCAATCTTAGTCGCTTCATGACACTGCCATAATATATTCCTCTACCCTAAATTACCCTACAGGCTTTCAGAAAGAAAAGAAAGAACCTAAGAAGATTTGGGATTGCACAGCTGAGGGATGTAAGGTTTAGGCTGGCTGTGAGAGAGGCTGGGTACATTCCTTCATTTTTCAGAACTGTTTTCTCATCAGCCCAATGTGTGTCTATATAATAATGTACATTCCCTCTTTATGAGTGTGCAAAACTGGCATGAAACAGCTACTTCTTGGAGTCTCGCTTTGATCACCTGTGTAATAGAGATTTAAATATACTCATCTTCCAGACTCATGATGAGGAGTAGAGGATGTGCGTATGCTTTTTACACTGCTGGAATAGAATAGGTGCATGGTACCAGTTTATCAAATGAATGACTGACAGAGAAGATGAGATTCCTTTTGCTTATTATTGCTATTGTCCTGTTAGTTGAAATGCAGTGAGAAAAAATACATCTTTTTGCTTCCAGATTCTGATGTCCTAACACCCTTATTTGTTCTTATATTCATCACAACTTTGTTTAGTTATGTGACCAAATGCTTGAGAGTGACTCCTTCTAAGAATGGAAGTTCCATATCTGATGCCACATCTGTCTTCTTCACCAGCCACCTATTCAGTGCCTATAAAAATGTTTTGTCGGATAAATCAATAACAAATGGCGAGTGATTGGGTAGCTACACTTCTTTTTATTTCAGCTTCTGAGATGTTTTGTGACTGTCTTTGCAGATCCTCTGGTGTTCACACGATTTTCGTTTTCCACAGGTGGAGGGACAATCATGTCTGGTGGTGAACCAGAGCCAAGATGCTACTATGTGGGTGTGGATGTTGGAACCGGCAGTGTCCGTGCGGCTCTGGTGGACCAGAGAGGGGCGCTCTTGGCTTTTGCAGACCAGCCAATTGACAAATGGGAGCCTCAGTTCAACCACCATGAGCAGTCCTCTGAGAATATCTGGGCCGCTTGCTGTGTTGTCACAAAGGTACGGGCAAAGCACACACTGCCACCTGTTGAGTGTTTGCACCTGTCCACCTGGAAGAATGGACTGTGTGGAGTAACTTGAGACTCAGAGCCAAGTGAGACACTGGCCTTGCCTTTCAGGACCTCACAGAGTTGTGGAGGCTGGCAGACAGCTGCAGTGTGATGTGACAAGTGCTGTGAGCTAAGTAAACATTGCTGGAGCTAACGCTGAGGGGGTTTAGGGAGACAGGATGCAGGAGGCAGAAACTTGGGATGTGGATGAAGATATGGATGTGATCATCGTAGCTAACATCAAGTCTGCCTTTACTGTATGTTAAGCATGCTAACACACTCTGTGTAGTTGAGTCCTCACAACAACCCTAAAAAGTCTCCTGTTCACCCCATTTTATTCTTATTCAGGATGAAATAGATAAAGTTAGATAACTTACACAGGTTCACAATCAGTAAGTAGCAGGGGCAGGACTGGAACCCAAGCAGTCTGGCTCCAGAGCTGTGCTTTTATCAACAACAGACTCTCCTGCCTCCCAAGTGGACAAGTGAAGAACTGCGGTGCCATGAGAATGTGGTATGCTCTGAGAAAGCAAGGAAGTTGGGTCAAACTGGAACGTCTCCAGTATGTGTCAGGCAGGTGTTCATCTTGAGTGACCGTGGATCCGATGCAGCTTGCTGGCTTGGGGAAGGAAGTGGTGCCTGGTAATACTTGTTCATATTTAAAATTTCATTTTTTACTTTGACTTTATTTTCTGGTGATCAGAAACAACGGGCATCTTATTTTTTTCTTTTTTTTCTTGAGAGAGAAAAAATAAAGTCCTGGATTCCTTCTTCTCCCTGTTCCTAGTTTAATTCTTTAAATATTCATGAAGTGCTTGGTAATTTGCAGATGGACAATTCACCATTCTGTCTGTATTGATCAGTCTGTTTAAACTTTCATGAGCTCTGGGCTGCTGTTAGCCCTAGAGAAGAAGGCAGAGAGAAGTGGGGGTGGGCAGCATGGATCATTATACAGGAATAAAAGAGGGGAGCGTCTTTCCTGCTGCCTGTTTAATTTTCCTCTTCTCTCCCCATGCTCTGTCCCACTTCAGTGAAAATATTAGGCTCTTTGCCCTTGGGTTTCCTTTGTTCTTCTAACATATAGCCTTTCTTGCCATTAAGGAAATTGTCAAGAAGAAAATATAATCCCCTGCTGCAAAGCTGCTCTAGAAAAGGTCTTCTCTAAGTACAATTTAGTTTAATGGTAGATTTTTAATCATCTCCCAGTGGCAGCCAGCTTGGTATTGGTTTGAGCCCAGTTAACCACATAAGTACTGGGGGCATTTGTCCTTGGTGACACTTTCTTACTGTGGAAAACCTGAATAAAGCTCTGGGGTCTCAGGCCAGTCCTCTCTCATGGACTGTGGCTGTGTGGCCGTGTGCCAGCATGACTCATCTGTTGGGGACATCACTGCTTGGTGTGAGGTTTCATCTCAGAGGCTGCATGCCATAGTCATGTATGGTGGAGCCCGACCACCAGAGTGATGTGCCAGCTCCAACAGTGTTTAGCTGGTGATCTTGGACAAGTTACTTCATGTTTCCCTATCGGTGGTATGGGTTTGTGATAGTACCTGCCTCCGTAGGGTTATTGTGAGGGTTAAAGGAGTGAATGCATGTAAAATGTCACAATAGTACCTTCAGACAAGTATCACTATGGGAGTAGGGAGGATAACAAAAATTAATAGCTGACGGAGGACAATGAATTTCTAAGATAAAATACTGAAGAGCTGGACCGATGTCCTCTGTCAGGAACACTCTTCCTCAGAATTCCACAAGGTTGTCTCCTCCCTCTTTCCAATGGTGCCTCAGATCTAGCCTTCTTAGAAACCACCTTGCTCTTCTTTAACGTTCTCTAACCCCCTGATGACTCACTTTCTGGTACAGTACATTATACTTACACTACAAAATTTGTTTTATTTATTGACTGTTGTGTGTACTTACTAAAACATAATCTCCAAAACAATGATCTAAAAAAATGTTTTGCTCTCCATTATTTCCTAAATATGTAGAGGACTGTGCAGCTTGACCCTAAAAGATGTTACATTATACCTTCTCAAGACCTAGTAAGTGAGGGATTGAGTTGCCTAGGCACTAGGACTGATGGAGCCTAAGGGAAACAGGGATTGCATAGCTCCACACATGACCCCAAAGCTGACAGAGGCACTTACTTGAGTATTTAAAAGAATACAGTACCAGCCACATAGACTTGTGCTGCCAGCTGGACTCTCTCCCTGGGCCCCAGGCTTTGACCCTTGTTCAGAATAGAGCTAAAGATTAAGTCAGGTTTTCCTGACCCTGGAGTTCTCAGTCCAGAGAGTTTCTGAAGAATGCCATCTCCCCACCCAGTATGGCTGAGCTTGCTGATTTAAAACACATGCAGGATTGAACCCATTCCCACAGGAAGAACAAAGAGATGCACAATCCCTTCCCCAAATATTTGTTTGCTGCCCCAGAGCTACAAGTTGACACTTTTGTCAGACATGGACCAGGTTGCAAATGAGGTTGCAGAAATCTCTTCTCTGGAAATTCTTTTGAGGAGCAATGTGCTTTCTCTCTGGCCAGGGAAATTCTCTCACTGCCAAGTTATTGGGTGAGTGTACTAGGCAACTTTCTTCTTCCATGATTAAGAATGTAAGAATCCTTAGGTCACCAGGTCAGGCCCTCGAGCCTTCTGGGTAGTGTGACCCTGACAGCTACCTTTCTGGGATGGCTTGCGTGGGTGTGAGGGGTTTGGGGAATGGTGTGGTCCTCGGCTGTGGAGAAAGAAACATGAATGTAAGGCATTTCCTTGTAAGGCTGGGGAAGTAACAGTGCCTACCTAACCAAGTTGGCTTTAAATGTGTGTCACCATTATTGTTTTAGCTGTTTGTAAATGGTCTCTGTTTTATAAAGAAATGGAGACACTACACCTTTGTGACTGAAAAGCCATGATTTGAATATAGAAATCTGTGAGTCTTCAGAGAGCATTCATAACCTAGATTGAAGAAAATGTATTTTTCATCTTAGTGGAAGGTTACACCCATTATTAATTATCAGAAAGATTTGTGTCTATACAATTTGCTATTGCTATTCTCTTTGTATGTGCTTACATGACACAGAACATGCTGTGCTTTGAACATAAAAGTGTTCCACCCACCCCAATAAGACATCGAGAGGGTTTCTCACCCTTTACATTCCCTACAAAGGCAAACTGGTCCCACAGATGTTTAAACAACTTTATTCTGTAGCACTTATCTGGGCGGGTGTTTCTTAACCTTCAGGATACTGAGGCTCAGCGAGGTAATGAGAGTAGTGCAGAAGTGGTAGAGTTGGTACCATCACAAATCATGTCCCTTTCTATGGCAGAAGTACCTGAAGTCAAGTTTTATTGAATCATCTACATTTTCTCACCTTAGCCCTCTTTGTTCGCTGCAGCCTGTGCAGAATGGGGTCCTCCACATCAGGTGTTCAGTGTCTGAACACATAGGGTAATAGGACTGCACAGCAAGTAAGACTCAGGGCTTGTTCACTGACTGATTATTATCACATGTATTCAAAGTTGATGTGCGGCAGCTGACTCCCTCTAATAGTTGCTGTTGTGTCTGAAACATTAGATGTTGAGCTAAGTGCACCTTATTTTTCTGGGAGATTCAGGTATGAGTAATAGCTTTGTACAGTCATGAAAACTAGCTATCTGACTTCCCAAAGTCATTCAGCTAGTAAGTGGCAGGGCCAGTTTAAACACAGAAGCATTCCATCTGTCCCCAAAACTACTGATCTTACCCACTGTTCATTGATTTCCAAGTACTGTAGTGAAGGTCTGCAAGGGAATTAGATTTAATACAGGACATAATGTATAGGATTATTTTGATATTTACCCAAAAAGTCAAATATGGAGGAGTGCAAAAGATTAGGCACACACTAGAGGTCCAAAGAATCCAGCTAAGGGCCCAGATCCCACAGTAGTGTCCCACACAAGTCCACCTGAAGTCCTAGAGTCCAAGACAATGTCCCCAAGAGTCCAGCCAGTGGTTTAGAGCTCAGAGCAATGTCTCATGCTTGTCTGTATTGAGGATCTGCACTTAGAAGGCCCAAAAGCCAGGTGTGGAAGCCAGAAAAGCTATGCCAGGGATAAAGGATTTCTGCCAACAGGCTGCAGGATCTATACTGGAGCCAGGAAGTGATGCTTATGGTTAAGGTCAGAGCTCCCCTGAGGAGAACAGCGGCCATTCCCAGTGACAGGGAGGCCCTGAGCTTCCCCTCTAATGAGAACAGCCAAGTTCACATCAGGGAAACCATCCACAGCAAGCTGCTTCTAGAAAATCAACAGCCCACAATCTTCCCCTCCAATTCTCTTTTTATGGCTATTGGCAGCAATCTTCAGGTGGATGGATCTTCCACGCCCAGACCACACTGATTCAGTTCAGCTGGGCATTACAAGTTGACCATTACTTAATCCACCAAACCAAGCCACAGGACATTCCAGGCAGGAAGCCATGCCACTCTGGGCATGTGATCTAGTAAGGCAAGAGAATAATTGGTCTGACAGGAATTATGTACTCTACCTTGCCTTCAGCCGCACCAGGGTGGGATCTGAACCCAGAGTTTTGTTGTTCCTTGTCATGAGGCTGTTCTGACTGTCAGAGAACTGGTATGGTGTTGTGTGCAAAGGTATTCAGGCAGTCCAAGATGGCTTAGTAGCTAATGTGACCCTTAGAGCACAGGCCCTCTCTGTTGGAATGTCTCAAGTGCAACACAAAGTTCCTTGATAATGAGTGAAGTATGGAATAACAAAAAGAACATAGGCTCTGAGTTTGAATTCAGATCTGTCATCTTTCATCTGTGTGACAAAAGCAAGTCCCTTAAGCTTTCTGAACCTGCTTGTTCACCCCTGATCATCTGCTTATTTTTTAATGAAATACAAAAGATTATGGTCATCAATACTTAAAAAAAAGAAACCACAGAAACACAAATCAAAACTAGATCTATTAATCTATAAATTTGAAAATTATACAAAGAAGTAAAACATCTCTCCTGAAACTGTAGATCTGTCCTCAGAAGCAACCACTTTCAACAGTTTGTTGCACTTTTTTAACTTCATTAATATATTGTGGATATTTCTCCATTTCATCTTCTGCAGCTCAACTTTTTTTTTTTACTATTTTACAGTTTGAATTATCATTTACATACCATAAAATCGATCTGGTGTAAATGTATAATTCTAATAAATTTACATGGGTTGTGCAATCATCGTAATCCAAATAAAACACTTTTATTATTCTAGAAAAGTTTCCTCATTTTTATTTTATTTGATCTTAGCTCTGGTCATAGGTAACTATCTGCTTTCTGTCTTTATAGTGCTTCTTTTAGAAATTTCATGTAAATAGAATCATACACTAGGTATCCTTTTGCATGTGGCTTTGTATCTTTATCACAGTGCTTTTTATTTTTGTATTTGTGTGGTAATGGGGATTGAAGCCAGGGCCTTTGTGTTAAGTTACATTTAAAGCCCTTTATTTATTTTGATACAGGGTCTCAATAATTGCTCAGTTGCCCAGGCTGGACTTGAACTTGTGATCCTCCTGCCTCAGTCTCCCAGAATGCTGGGAAGACAAGTGCATGCCAGCACAAGTGTGTTCATCCATGTTGTCCATATCAACATTTTCTTACTGACTTGTTTTCCATTGTGTGGACATACTACACTTCATTTAGTATTTGCTTAGACTGTGATGAATATTTGGGTTGAATCCTGTTTTGGAATGTGTTAGTCTGTTTCCCATGACTGTAACAAGATGCAGCAAGGCTGGGAAATGTGCCAAGAAAAGAGGTTTATTTAGAGCTGAATGTTTGGTAGCATGGAACCCAGGTTCTACTGGGCTCTGGTGATGGCCTCATGGTGGATGTTATCACAGTAACGTCAGTGCCTGTGAGAGGGAGAGAGCACATGGCAAGGCGTGAAGCCAGAGAATATGAAGGGGCCAGACTTGTTCTTTTTTATAGCATCCTTCTTGTGAACAATGAGTACAATAATAATCACTTCAATTCCACGCAATAGCAGTGTCCCTAGTGCCCTCCCATGAGACTCCACCTGTCAAATGTTACATTGTTTCTCAGGTCAGCAGGGACCAAGTTTCCGACACACAAATCCTTGGACAAACTGCATCAGACTAGCCTTCTGCCCCAACTCAAAGGTCAACATTTTTCTCACAAGGCAAAATGTAACCATTCCATCCCTGGTAGTCCAAGCACTTTAACAGTTTTTTGCATCACTCAGAAGTCCCAAGTTCAAAGTCTTGTCTGAGCCTCATTTTTTAACTGCGAGTCCCTATTAAAAAACAGCATCAAGTTACATACTTTCAAGTAATGATGCTAGACAAGCACGGGGTAAACATTTCTATTCCAAAAGGGAGAAATGGAGACATAGAAAGGAGTACTTGGTTTAAAATGAGACTACAGCCCAGCAGGGCAGGCCTTAAATTTTAGAGCTCTGAGTCCTGCACCCTGTTCCTCCTGTGGTAAGGGGTGGGGCCTCAGGGGATAGGAAGCCCCACCCCTATAAATTCACAAGTCACAGGTCTCAAGGTTACCCCCCCCCCCGCTGTCTTTGCAGGCTGCCCTGCAGCTTTCCACAATGAGCATTGCACATTGCTGCTTATTTTATCTTCCTATTTCTTACCTTCCTTCTTCCTTCCCAGGCACAGCTCCATTCCTGTTGCTCCACTAGATTTTCCCATTTCTCCAATTTTGTTTTAATCCATTTTTGTTACTATAATGAAATGCCAGAGGGTATTTTAAGAAAAGAGCTTAAAATGCAAATAACCACTTATTTTTTCTATAAAATTCCAGTTTCTTTTAAATCTTACATATTGAAGAACTGAGTTATAATCCTGAGTCCCAATTGGTCATTAAATCCACAGAGCCATCTATGATAGTTGGCCACTAAATAGTTAAGCAATTCCTATGTTCTGCCTACCTATAAGTAACTCTGGATTGAGAGGCCATGTGGCCACCCACCTGGAACTATGTGATTTATTTTATCTTTCTTATTTTACTGGTTAGAATCTCTTTTTTAATTAATTTTATTGGTACATTTAGAGTATACAATGCAGTGACATTCATCATTGGAAATTTGCACCTTTACATAATCCCTCTTGGTTCTTATTTTTTTCCTCATTCCCCTGCCCTCCCTTCATGGTTAGAATCTTTAACACAAGGTTGAGTAGAAGTAGTTAAAGTGAACATTCTTGTTATCTTTTTTAAATAGGGGGAGTCATTCATTTTAAGTATGACATTAGCTATCAGTTTTTGTACATGCTTTATATTAGTTTGTGTAAGTTCCCTTCTGGTTCTGATTTCTAATTTTCCTTTTGTTGGAATGGGGATCATCTGAGTTGATCATTTGGTGTTTGTACTTTATTGTGTATATTTGTGTGTGTGTGTGCACATGCACATGTTTGTGTATATACAGTATATATTTATTACATTAATTGATTTGTGGCTATTAAGCTACCCTTGCATTCCTGGGATAACCACACATGGTAATGGTGTATGTTACTGATTTTATGTATTTCAATATTTGGTTTAATATTTTGTGAATCATTTATATACATATATTCATGACAAATATTGGATTGTGGTATGCTTTATTTAAATGATGTCTTTGTCTTTGACACCAGAGTAATCTTGGTCCTGTTATATTTATTGCAAAGTATTTGCTCTTTTCACTGTATAGGATTGATACTGTTTATTCCTTAAATACTTGATGAAATTCCCCAGAGAATCCACTAGGAACTGAAGTTACTTTTTGTTTACTTTTTGACAGTTTTAAATATACATTTGATTTTTAAAATAAAATATACTTCTTGATTTGTCATGTTGCTTTGATCAATTTATGTAGCCTGCAAATGGTTGATTTTGGTGACTTTTATCTAGTCTTATACTTTTATTTTGCTATGAGAATTTGCTTCTCTCCTCATTTTATCACACCCAGAAGTTGTACTTCTACTTTCTTTATTAATTTCTGCATAGTATTCCCTTTTATAAACTTGCCATAATTCATCAAAAATTAGTTTTTTGTTTTTTAATATATTAATAAAAATGATGCAGTTCTTCTATATGTAACTTGTGTAACAATTTGCTAATTGCATAGGTTCCTGTGAGTGGAATTGATGGGCCAAAACATATCCATACCTATAGTTTTAATAGGTAGAATCAAATTATTTTTTAAAATTTGTATTGTCTAGTTACCCTGTTAGAACAATATTTATGAGGATCCTCTTGCCCATTGTTGCCACTAATGTATACTGTTAATCTTTCATATTTTAACATAAAAGCACACTTTTATTTTTATTTATCTATAGTGAAAACCTTTTTATATACTCTGATCATTTTGTTTTGTTAAGTGACATTTCATGTCCTTTGCTTAAATTTTAATTAGATTGGTTGTCTTTTTGTCATTAATTTATAGAAGCTTTTGCTTTTTTAGTGATATTAAATTTTTGTAGTTACTTTTATCTATACTGTTGTTTATTTCCTTCTAGTTGTAACTTGTCTTCATGCTATTAAAAACTTGGCTTTATAATTTGTGGTTATTTTGTTTGTCTTTTAAACAGAAAGTTGTACAAGGGATTGATAGAAGCCAAATCCGAGGACTTGGGTTTGATGCCACATGTTCTCTGGTTGTCTTGGATAAGCAGTTTCGTCCTTTACCTGTAAACCATGAAGGTAGGACCATTGTTCTCCCTTCCTTTGTGGTAGAAGATGGGAGGCTGGCTGGGGCAGTCTTGGTGACATGTTCAAAGTGCTCAGGTGCAACAAAAAGTCAGGTGCCTCTTACGACTGGAAGTAAGGTTTGGAGGTGGAGTGTGGAAGCCAGAAATCATGTCATAGGAGCTAAAAGATTGCAGAACAATTGGAATGATTGACTCTTGTGGGGATGGGTCAGGGAGGGACTTGGCTCTACTAAGCCTAAGAGTGCTGGTAGAAAACCTCCTGAAAAAAAGACTTTTGCTCGTTAGATAGCTAGGAGTGGCCTTGAACCCCTCGTGTTATTTCTCTTTGGGGAAGAGAGTGTCAGGGTTTTCAATTGTTTTTCTTATGAAGCTATACTATCCAATGCTCATTAGAGACAGTGAGCCAACTACAATGAAACGAAATAGAACACAGTACCATATGTCACATGACAGTTACACTAAATGGTGTTTCTTTGAATAGTTGATACTTGTGATTTCCCTAATGAGCTGTTTCAAATGTAAATTGCCACTTGGACTCAACATCCAAGATTTTTCTGGGAAATATTAGCCAGTAGTAGTAGCACTGGTATTGAACACTCAAAGTCTATATTAGTCAGGCAGGTGTAAATGAATAAAGTGGGCCAAGTTTGAAAAAAAGAGCAGCACATGCATGATGATAAACTATTGATATCCTACTTTGTAGTAAGTGGAAGACATTGAGGGTGGTGGAGACAATGGTGTACTGGAAATTACATGTTCCATCGAAGGAGACATTATCTTTTAGCAGTTGCCAAGATGGCCATTTTAAACATGGAGGGAATGAGGACCATCATCAGTGTGCTAAGCTCTGTCTTGTTAAGTGTTGGGGTGTTAAACATGAACTGAGTTGTCCTTGCCGTCACTGGGCTTGTGCTGGTTCATTTGGTTTTCTTCTGGACCACAACCTGGGCCCCTTCAAAGAATAGAGATGTGAGGGTGGTGGGTAGCCAGTCAACCTCTGCTGAACAGAGTGGGTACTTAGAAGATGTGTCAGACTTGGACTTGGGCCAAGGCAGCTGCCAGTGCTTCTTTCACTGACTTTATTTAAGTAAAAGTTAGGTGATTGTCTGTTAGGGATGAGGTATCAGGAATTCTCATTTTGCATGAGACTTTAGATGGTCAGAGTCCTAAGTGCCTGGGGATCCTTGCTGTCTGATCTACTAAAATATGTGTTTGTTTTTTAAACCCCAGTTGTGCATGCATTAGCACCAATGGGAGGTCATTTTAAAAATTGCCATCCATGCATCGTATGCCCCAGATTTATATTCAGTCAGCTTTGGATGGGTCTAGGGCAGTGGTGGTGAACCTTTTAAAGCTTTCAGTGATACAAACAGCCCACGCTAGCACACATGCCATAGGTGTGACTCCACTGGTCTAAGAGATCATCCTTTTTAAAAACTGCCCTTAGTTTTTACTAATATAACTTCTGATATGCATAGAATTACCAGGCACAGATGAACAGACAGTTAAAATATTAGGAACAGATACTGGAAGTGGAAGGACAGCGTTTCTTGTTGAACCTACTTAAATAAGAGTCTTTTCTGGATGCCGTCCTATTTTTTTAAGGTGGACAGAATCGCTACCTGTTAATAAATCCTCTGTTAAATGGGGAGCTACATTGCAATCCTAATTATAAGTGTTAAAGTAACGTTATTCCACCTAAAATGTTAAAATATACCCATTTATCAGCTGTGGCCAGCTGTGGGTGCCACTCACCACAGATTGCCTTTCCACAGATTGTATTGAATTAGATTTTACCTGACAGAATTATTGTATTTGAAAGTGAAATTAGAATTCTAAAGACAGCTTAAAGGTTCTCTAAAGACCTGTGAGGTAGGACCCAACTGTAGTAACTTCAAGGAGCAGGGTGTGGAGTCAGGAAGAGGACAGATAACCCCAGCCACTGTTAATGCTACTTTAATAGAAGCAGAAGTGTTTCCATCTTTAAATGTAAAAAAAGAAACACACACACAGAACAAATTAAGTGCAGTCATTTATGAGCACCAAGAATCCCATGTGATGAAATAGCCTCATTCTGAGCCTCTCCGGGCTTGGTTCTTCTTGTCTTGAAGATTAGAACAGCCCTGGGTCAGCAGTGCAATCACTGTGGGTTCCTCCCACAGCCAGCGTGCTCCATGCCTCACTCCTGTTAAGTTGTCTGTCCAGGAACCTTCTGGAGGTGGGGAAGAACCAAGGGTGATAACTGGGTCTCGGGCGGGAGTCAGAACCAGGCTGCTGTGTGCAGCAGAAATCTAATATCTGGTATTTTTGCTGTTTCATAGAATTTGTTTTGTTCTAGAGCATGCTGGGAACATGTCCTGTGAGATGCTCAGCATTTTAATTGAAACCCAATGAACAACATGCCCTTAGGTAAAGCTGACTTCGTAGCTCAAATTCTACTGTAATGGATTGCCATGGATTCTCCTAAAACAGGCAGTCTTTTCCAGTTTGTTCTGTTTCGCATGCTCTTCCTGTTATGCTGAGCCTCTTTCTTCACTCTTCCTCTACTGGCTGACCAGAATTAAAGCCTCCTGGCTTCTGGAAGATCAGTGTGTAGCCTCAGACTTGGCCTGCTGCAGCTGAGCTCCTCCTCTATTTCCCCATTCCTGGTGCTCTGTTCTGGTATTCAGCTCCCGGAAAGACTTGTTTTCCTCTCAAGCACATGCTCCTTACGAACAGGGATCGAGCTGCATTCTTCTTCGTATCCTGAGACCAAGCACTGTGTCAAAAATGTAGTAGATGCTCAGTAAAAGATTAAGTGAACTTTCAGCCGAGCCATGTACTTGTGACTTTCTATGAGAACTGAAGAGCGACTCTTCAGTTTTTGTCTAAAAAGAGAATGACCCAGTTGTGGTAGAACATACTTGTAGGCCTAGAACTCTGTCTGGGAGACTGAGGCAGTAGGATTCAAGTTTGAGCCCAACCTATTCAATTTAGCAATTTAGGGAGACCCTTTCTGAAAAGAAATTTTAAATAATGAGAAAAAGGCTGGGAATATATCCCTATGCAAAGGCCCTCAGTTCAGTTCCCAGTACTGCCCCATAAAGTAATAATCATAATATATATATAGTAAAGTGCTTCTGTACAGTTATTTTGTTCTCATATTCTGCCTACAGTAGCAAATTGGCTTTTCTTTACTACAGTTGAGATATAGCAAGAGGTGTTTTTGTCTTGAAACAGCCATGAATATGTTTTCTACAAGATTTAATAAACAATAATGACCCCGACCCCTCAACACATACCCACTAATACACATTTCTGATTCATTGATGGTTCTGGCTGTGACCTGGACATCAATGCTTTCAAAAAGTATTCAGATGAGTCTCATGTACACCAAAAGCTGAGAACCAGAGCCCGCAGGAATTTTATCACATCATTAGAACCACTCTGTTACTTACAAGTGCGCTTTTTAAAACATGTCCGTGGAAGGTCTCATGAGCTGTGTCTCATTTTTCAAGTAATTGAAAGCTTGTTTTGGGACTTGAGATCTTTCCAGTCAGGCAAAAAAGTGATAGAGCCTTGTGCTTTGCAATTTTTTCCTTATTTAGATATATTCTGAGGTTGACCTTTATTTTTCTTTTAATTTAAAAATTATTTTCCAAGACATAGAAGAGTTAAAAAGCAGTCTTTTATATATCCATTATTGAGAATAAACATGAGATTTTGCTAAGTTTGCCTCAGGTCTGCTTGGGATAGGTGGAGGGGGAGGAAAGGAAGGGGATGAAAAAGGAATTAAAATGTGTTGTACACATGGACTGACTTCACTTGAGGAGTACTACACATGTGTACTAATAAAACTAAATAAAAAAGAACCATTTGTAATGTTAGCCCTTTTCCCCAGGCACCCTAATCACTGCTCATAAATATATTGTTTTTGTGCTTTTGTTACATATGTATGTAGCTACAGCATTATACATATTCTGTCTTGAAATATCTCACTGGTATCATATTCACGTTGCTATGTCTAACTGGTTTATTTTAGTAATTTATTTATTCTGTTGGCAGATCTGGTGCTAAGGCACACTTCATGCATTTGCCAGCTGCAAGACATTGGGTTTGTTGTCAAACCTCAGAACCTCAGCCTGTCACAAATGATCGATTTAATTGTCCTCATAGCAAAGTGAGTTACATGGGATGATAAATGTTTAGCACAGGGAGGCACACAAACAGACATCATAAACATTTCCTCTCATCAAGGTATGTAGTTGTTGCATTTATTTCACCATCAGTCAATGTGTGAAAATGTCTGGTTCAGTAACTGTTGGGTCCTTGCTCTCCTTCCTGTGACCATCTGCTGGGTTTTTTCTCTCCTGTCCTCCAAACGGTGCCCTAGGAAGCATTAGAAGTGATAAAAGGGATGCATCTTGCCCATCCATGGGAAGGGCAGAGGGACTCAGTTGCAGTACTCTGTGAGGTGCTAGATAGGAGAGGAGGATATGAGGTGCCGTGCTGCTCTTCCAGCTGTTTCAAACTCTTGTCCTTCTGATTACTCCCCTTGGGCCTTGCATGGGATAGGAACTTGCCACATCCGTCTGTGCATTATCTTTTATTTAGTATAAGATGAAGGATCTCAGTAACTCCTTCTATGCTTAGGTATTGTTATCCCCATCAAAGACACAGAGAAAACTTTGCTAACTGTGTGAATGTATCTCCCATAGTAGCTTAAAGGTCAGCATTTCCTGTACAGTATGCTTATTCTAGAACTTGCTGTCCATCAGTGGAATGAGGGAACAGCCCCTAAATGAACTAATTCTAGATTAAACAGACTGGAAAAAATGGGAATATAAGCAAACAAACTTACTCTGTTGTGTAGCTGTGAGATGTATTATACCATCAAAATGTTTGTCCCTCTTGAATGTACACTTCTTAAAGTTTTTTTGGGAGAGGGTCTCGCTGTATAGTTCAGGTTGGTCTAGAACTTACTACATAGCTCAGGCTGGCCTCAAACTCATGACAATCCTCCTGCCTTAGCTTCTGGAGTGATGGCATTACAGGTGTGTACCACAACACCTGGCTGAAGTACAGAGATCTTAAAGATAGTTATGCTCTTTTCCTCAATGTATGTCCAGAAAAGTTTTTCTAGACTTGGACAGATGGGAATGGAAGAGAAAATACCAAGAAAGAATCGATGATGGTATGTTTTAATGTTGACTTTTAATCCTGAGTTATGGTGAAGAACACACGCCTGGAGGGGTTTGGGGTTGTGATATGCTCAGGGCCCTGCTGTCCTTTCACTTTGTTCATTTCTGCTATTGAGATTAAAGTAGAGATTGTGAGGTGTTTTGTCCTGAGCTTCTATCATTGTCCCCTTGAATTTGAAGGCAAAAAATGCATGTCTACCCTCATCTCTTTCCATTCCTGCTAGGTGATTTCCATAGGAACATCATCATGTGGCTGGACCACCGAGCCATCAGTCAGGTCCAAAAGATCAACGAGACCAAGCACCGTGTTCTCCAGTATGTGGGGGGCATGATGTCTGTGGAGATGCAGGCCCCGAAGCTCCTGTGGCTAAAAGAGGTGAGTGTACAGGGGTGTAGGAGGATACAAACAACAGCAGAGTAGCAGAGTGTTCCTTCATTGTGGAATAGTCATTCCCTGATGGAATTATTCATGTTTGCTTCTTCCCAGCAACTCTGTGTAGAAGGCTTGTTGGTTATGTTCAGCTGAATCACTTCTGTTTTCCTATGCATACGTCACACCGGGCTCTGGGATAAATATTTTACATGTTATCTCTTTGAATCCTAACAACCATGCCATGAGGTAGGCCTCTCTCTCTCTCTCTCTCTCTCTCAAGATTTTCTTTTTTTAGACAAAAAACCAAAAGCTCTTACAGAATAAACCAACTCATCTAAAGCAATACAAATAGGTAATGGAGCCAGTATTTGAACCTAAGATTGGGTGACACCAAAATCAATTCCCTTTAATTCTCTGCTGAAGTTCAGAGAGGTTAATTACCATTGCAGGAAGTGACAGAACTGGGATTTAAATCCAGATCTTCTGCCCAGAGCCTTCTTTCTGTACACACTTTTAGCCCCATCTTATTAATCTCTGGCCTTCTTGACATTTTAGGGTATCTCTTTCTCATCTCACCTGCCCTTGGGTTTCCTTGTCCTTGATGCTATGGTGATCACTGGCCAGAGCACTTGCAGGTGCTACCCATTTCCAGATGTCAGGCTCCTTTATGAAGTGCGGAGAATGGTGATGTCAGCTTAATGGTTCCTGTTAGTGATGGATGTGTGAGAAAGTTCAAGTCCTATGGGAACTTCAGGGACTTGAAAGCCGCTAGGTCTGTGGTGGCAAACCTATGGTATGTGTGCCACAGCAGGCTGTTCATTTTCACTGAAAGCTCTAAAAGCTCTGCCATCGCTGCCCTAGGTGGTCTGGTGAACAGAGAATCCATTTAAGGAGCAAGACCTGGTATGATTCACTTACTGGCACTGGGATTTCTGGTGGTTTGAGTCATCCATTTTTCAGATTGTGTATTGAAGTGGAGAACTACAAGTTCTTGAGAAGGGGTCCCAGGATAGTTACCATGGGGAAGGGGATAGAGGAGGAAAAGGGGCTCAGTCAATCAGAGCAGGCTTGACTTGTTATCTATTTTATAAATTCTCTCTTTTCCATCTATACAGTAAGAGAGTTGGATTAGGTCAGTTTGAAACCTGACCCAATGTCCGCTGAAGCACTAGTCAGAATATTGGCATTGCTCTGTGCTGCCCTGAACTCTCCTGTGTGTTTTACTCCCTGATTTTTTTTAACCCTCCCAAGCTCTGCCTTGTAAGTAGCATGGGGAGCTGAGGCTGAGAGAGGATATCTGACCTTCCCAAATAGATGATAGAGCCACAGTTCATGCCACAGCTCATGCCACCATATATCATGCAGTATTAACATCTCTGTGAAGCATGCCTCTTGGGATTGAACCTGGAACAAGATAGTTTTCTGCAAAGGTGACCTAAACTTATTCCAGAAGAAGAAATGGGTTGCATGCATCACCTGTTTTGTTTTGTTTTGTTTGCTACACTGGAGTATTGGGCAGGTGCTTGTGGATTCATATTAGAGTCAGACTGAGCCCAAGGTGTGTGTTCAGCTTGGCTGTATGTCTCAGGGGATCTCATGCACATCCTGTAAGAACCACACTAGTGCTCACCACCTTGCACTTGAGATTGGTCTGCACTGCATAAAGCCTATAGAAAATAACTTCTAGATTACATGGCCATGTTTGTGAACTCCTAAGAACATCATCTTTTAATTTATTTTGAAGAATCAATTGTCTTTCAGAATTTTCTCAGTAAGGCTCTAAACATTGTCCTACTTTTTCAGCTACCTGAAGGTGAGCCTGGGATCTATGTGGTCATTACAAATGGTGCACAAGAAATCATCTGGACACAGGCTTTGTGTGAGCAATAAGAGCTGATTTATTCTGCCTAGGTGCAGGCAAGCAGAGACTGAGAAAGATGTCAGTCCTTGGCTAGAGGAGAAGCTAGGTTTTCATAGCATTTGGGAAGGGGGATTGTAATCCTAAGGAGTCTGAAGTGCGACGTTTGGGGTCAAGGTACCCAGGACAGTGAGTGCAGGAATAGAGATAATACCGGATTTCTTGGCACCAGGGAGATTGTATGTCCTGTCCTCAGTTTTCTTTATGGCATCTGTTCTGGTTACTGAGGGCAGCATAGCCCTTTAGTGGTTTCCTGTTGTTTGTGGAGGGCAGCATGTCTGCTGAGAGAATCCCACTCATGTCAGGCATGACAGGAACCGTTTGGATTTTTTTGTGGTAAACATACACAGGAAGAATTCTTGCTGAGAGTCCCTTTGGTTTTAGCATGATTACAAACTCAAAATTAAAGATCTTTCTAAAATCAGTATTAGTATCTTCTTCTAGCCTGCCAGAGATGGCTTATAGTGCTTCCAAACTTTAATGTCTAAATGAGTCACCTGAAGATCCTGTTAAACAGAACATTCTGACTCAGCACCCTGGGGCAGGGACTGAGAAGTTGAGAACTTTCATTTCCTAACAAGTTGCCAAGTGATGCTGATGTTGCTGGCCTGAGGACTTATAAAACTACTTTTAACTTTAGAGGCTCTGCCCTTGTACCCTGAGGAACAGCATCTACTCGTAGAGAGTCAGGAGTGTACCTTCTTTCTGGAGAAGTGATGCGAAGTTAGATGGCTTCACCAGAGCTGTTCAAGTGCACATTTGAAGTAAGAACATGAGGCTCTGTGTTCTGAGTTGACTAAACCATCATTTGTGTACTCTTTATTCCATCCTTAATTTCCAGATCCTAACTGAGCCACTGCTGTGAACTAGTAACTGTGATAGATACTGGGCTCAAAAAGGACTCGACCCCACCCTAGAGGGGCATAGAGTTTACTGAGTACATGAGAAATGGGGTGGCTGTCAGAAGGTGTAACATACATAGGGATACAGAAATATGCTCAGTGTTTTGGGAGAAAGTAATTTGGTGTCTGAGGAAAGCAGTGTTATATGTCTTATGGTAGAAGTAGAGGTTTGCTTAGAAGGGAAGACAGGACCAATATTCTAGAAAGAACCTATGGCACAGTATGATATTGTAGGCAGGTCCCAGACAAGAGCTGGGGCCTTGGGAAAGTAGGAGGTGAGATTGGGTAAGTAGCCCAGGTCCAGCTTTTGGTTTGAGAGAGGCTCACCACGTAGTTCAGGCTGTCCTTGGACTCACTGTGTAGCCCAACACCATACCACCCAGTTTAGGTTCAGGGTTTTTTTTTTGTTTTGTTTTTTGTTTTTTTGTGTGCCAGGGAATCGAGCTCAGGACCCTGTGCTTGCAAGGCAGGTGGCGGCATCACTGAGCTAAATCCCTGACCCTGTCGGTGATTATCAATAGAATGTCTTAGGTAACTTTGGCAGGGATGTAGAGATTAAAACAAGGGTGTATGTATAAGAATTAGAGTTTTCTTCGTTTGCTGATGGTGTTGCTTGTTTGATGGTGTTGCATTGCTGCTAGAATAAATCCCAGAATTTGTGAGATGGCCTAGAAGATGGTCTTTGATGTCATTTTTACTTCCTCCCTCCCTCCCTCTAACCGGTGTACCTTGCCAGCTTGCTTACTTTAATCCATCCACAGGGATCTAGTCATAGTTCTTCAAGCAGAGCCAGTTCTTCGCCACCAGGGAGTCTTGTCTAAGGAATGGCAAACTATGGCCCCAGGATGTTTGCCTAACTGGCTGGGGAGCTACAAATGATTCATATGGTTGAGGAAAAAAAAAACACTTGTTAAATTCTATGAAGTTAGATGTTTAGTGGAATTATTATTGGAACATAGTCAAACTCATTCCTTTCTGCATTGTCTGTGGCTGCTTTTGCATAATACTGACACTACTGAGAACCTGATAAAGAGACTGTTTTCTGTAAAAGGAGAAAGTATATACTACCTGGACCTGTAAAGAAAAAGTCTGCTGACTTGGTGGTGGTGTTCTCTCTGCCCAGATTATCCTTTTCTCTGCCCACCATTGATTCTTCCTCATCATTTAGGTCTTAGCTTTATTAATGTTTCCTTAGAGAAGTCTTTCCTGGTCCAGAGATGAATTAGAAGGCTTTTATTTTTGCAGTTGTCTTAGACATTCTCTTGTTGTTCAGACAAAATACCAGACACCCATAACTAAACGGGGAAGGTTTATTTTGGCTCACATTTCAGTCCGTAGTTGGCTGGCTCTAAACCAGATGGTATGGCACAGGCTCATGGCCGAGGAATAGCTGCTCATTTGGTGGTGGTTTGAAAGCAGAAAGGGCCAAGGAAGGAGCTCGGCAGGGGGATACAACATTCTGGGTCGGGCTACAGTGACTTGCCTCTTCCTACCAGGCCCCGCCTCCTAAGGGCAAGTTAGCTATAATGCCCATAGTTCAGTTGTTGTGTCGGGGGTAGGCACCACTGCTCTGCTGGAACAGCAGCAAACAGGGATTGTAAACTCAGCACCAATCGTGAACTGAAGGAAGTGTAGCATAAAGGAAGATGATTTATTCAAAAAAGGAGGAGGAGAATGGAGAGATAAACAGCTACCCCAAAGAGTAGGGGGACACTGGGAAAGGTGGTGAAACCCCTGAGCCTTTGTCCTTGGCTCCTTTTACTAAGATTAGCAACCCTTCCCCCAGTGTGGGAACCTGGAACTTGTACAAATCTGATTGGCTCTCTGGCTGTCTTCAACTGTAACCCAGACACCTTTGCTTATATTCCTTTTGGTCATTTGATTCCTTCCTGCCCTTTTGTGATGGGTAAATTGGGAGGGGGCCTTATAGAAAGGCAGTTTAGGGTTAGTGATTAAGTAAAGGGAAATGTGTGCATCTAGTCAGAGATATACTGACCCTGGAGTGAGAGCATACATATCTGTGGAAATGCATAGGTCTGTGTCTTTTTATGTACTGAATAAGAGTTTTAAAGTGGCTGCCCCTTGTTTCCTTTGCATTTTGTTGGAGGTGGTGTGTGTGGGGGGGTACTCTAGTTTTTCATGCTGCTGGTTTCTGTACTTTGTCTGTCAACTCTTCTTGATAA